CAATCCCTTCTCCTCCATTCTCCTCTCAGGATCTTGGGCATGCACGCACATGCAAGTGGGTTTAAGTCACCGGGTCCGGGACTCGAACCGCAGTTGACTACATGTGAGTACAATGACATAGCCATTATGCTAACTGCTGGTCCTGTAAAATAAGTACTTCTTAAAAATATATGGCTAGTTTGAATTTCAGGATAAAAAAGGAATCTCATTAATACTATATATGTTCACATTCATGTTGAATAATACTTTGATATATTGGGTTAAATAAAATACATTAATATTTCGTACTAGTTTAAAATATGACTTTCTGATTTTTAAACTTGATTAATAGATCATTTAAAGTTACCTGTGTGGCTCGTACTGTAGTTTTATTGGTCAGTGGTGGTCTAAATTTTTTGAATTGTTTTATTTCACTTAATTTGTTTATTTATTTATTTATTTTAATTTGACCAGAGAGGGACAGAGAGAGAGAAAGAAGCAAGCCAAGTCCAGGACTTGAACCGCGGTGTTGGCTGTGTGGGAGTCTAGCGACCTTAACTACCACCCCATCCGTCGGCCCCAATGTGGGTCTCCATTTTAAAGATAAACTTGGCCATGAGAAACATCCCTGCTTTTCAAGGGGAAATTGTTTCCCCACGGCCCTCCGCCTGCCCCCGCCGAGGACAATCTTTATAAACCGTCTAAAAATATAGCATTTATCCCTACCTACCCTGCTTCCTGGAGGAAGCGAAGGGAAACCGGGAGACGCTGGATACCAGTCGCTGGCTTCCGAATGCGTCTTCCTCCTACCGCGGGACACACCTGGGCTGACTGGAGCAGAGGCTGGACTCGCTGGGCCTATCTCCCCCAAGAGGCGCGGGCCAGGCCAAGGTCCCAAGCTAGCGTCTGGGCTGGGCCTGGAAACCCCGCGTTCCGTCCAGGGGCCCTGCCACAGCAGAGAAAGTTCCCGAGGGTCTGGGACAGAGTTGCAGAACGACCCCGAGGTCCGGACGGGATCAGAAAGCTCCTGAGGACGAAACCCGTATTTCGCAGGTCCCGCAGCGCGCCCGCAGCCAGCCCCAGCTGCGATTTATCGGGGAGCCCCAGGGTAAGGGGTCTCCCTCGTGGGTCGGGGTGATGATTGGGGACTTCCTTCTGTGCCTCGGCGCCCGACAGACCCGCCCCGCCCCGGCTGGGGTGGGGCTTTCCCCCTCCGGGCCGCGGTTCCCAGCGTCTCAGAAAGGGAAAGGGAAACAGCACGGCCGGGGTCCTCCAGGGCCTGCCCCTTCCTGGGGTGACCAGCTTTCCCCTGTCCCCCTCTCGCTTCTGGGTTCCCACTGCAGCCGAGCGAAGGCGGGCCGGGGGCTCCGAGGGAGACCCTCCGAGTCTACCTGGCTCCCCAAAGGCTCGCACCGCGTGAGCCGGACCGGAGAGCGGAGCAGCAGAGGCCGCCCGCTCGCAGTCTCGGCCGGGCAGTGTCTGGGGAGTAGCTTAGCTCTGGGAGAGAGCAGGGCCCTGAGCACACGGAATAAGAGGAGCAGAAGGACGAGGAGGCCTTCTCTCCACCCCCTCCCTCGAACCTTCAGACACGCCGAGATGAGTAAGGCTGAATTCTGAAGGAGGCTTTGCAATACCTGACTCAAACGCGACGTAGCCCGAAGACGTTTTTACTCCCCAAGCTCTTAAAGAAACGTTCAATAATCTCTTCATTTCTGCTTCTCCCCCGCCAAAGTTAGTCCCCGCCCCCAAAGTGAAGCTGAAACCCCGCCCCCAAGGCTAGGTGCAAATCTGGGCTCCCAACGTCGGAATGGAGCGCTGGGAGGGCGGCCGCCAAGTGTGCGGACACACCCGGCCCGCCCTGCAGGTACTAGGAGGCCGGACGGCTTGATTTCGGCTCGCCGGGACGTGAGCGCACAGGAGGATGTGGGCCCCCACCCCCAGCACCTCCTACCCATTGCCCCAGGTCCCCCACCCGGAATGGGGTGCGCCCCCTCTCTCTGAGTCAGCAGTTCTCGGGTCTTCAGTTCTTAACTGCGTGAACTTCAAACACAGATTACGTTGCGGACCCCTGGACAAAGCGTCCTGACTTCATCCAGACGCCAGCTTCCCAAGCTTTCTGGAGCTAACAGCGTCCCCCTTCCTCCTTCCTCTCCCTGTCCTCATCTGTGCACATTTACCAGTTTATCCATATGGAATAGGACACTCCCACTTCCCGGAGCACTGTGGTTGGGCCTAATTGATTCTGGTAATTAATTTGTTCTACCTGCTAGATCGGATGGAAAGCCCACCCCCACCGAGGATTAGCGCTTGGCATGCTAACACCTCCCCTAATTATCTAATAGCATGGGTTGTGAGGACTCAGTCTCTATTGAAACACTTTTACTATTAGCGCTGCTGATTGGAATTGTGATGACGACTAGATTTCAACAAATTAGAGCTTAAAAATGGGGGAGATGGAAGAGAAGTGGCTTCTTTTAATTTCACTGAGTTTAACATCAATAATTAGAGCAATTTTTGGAGATGCGAGCTGAAATTACCCTTGCTGTGTTGTGGATGATCACCTTAATTTTAGCAAATTGACTCCAGGGAAATAAATGTGAGAGATTAGAAAAAGACAAACAGAACACAACGAGAGATCGGGCGGGAGGGAAATGAAAGGAAAGAAGCCCGAGAAAGGAATGAGAGATAAAAACCTGGTACCGTTATGGGGTGGGGGTGGGGGGACTAGGTTGAAAGTATTAATACAGCAGGGGTGGCAACTGCGAGTGAGCCAGGAGGGAGTGATAGAAATTTGAGGGACCCTGGGGCGCAGCACCAGAGGTGCCTCTGGACATAGTTACACGGATCACAGCACTTAACTAACATAGATATAACCCTCCTCTCGCTCGCTGTCTTTACTGGGGTGGTGAATGTTTGACCCCCTTCCTCCTTTTCTTGATTTACCTGACTAATTCAGTCATCTTCAGCTCTCGCCTTAAGTTGAGTCTAAACAACTTCAAGTACTGAATTCTCCCTCTGTTGCCATCAGTGGTCTAAACGCTTAAATCCCACCCCCAAATATCTGAAACAATGCTTTATCACTGCTGCTTTTGGGGGTCTCTTGTAGTGCCTTCTCCTCTCTGAATAAGAGTTTTGTCGAACCACGGAGACTTTTCCCTTTTCCCTTTCTTTGAAAAAGACTAGGAACAAAGCAGCTCTTGCAGTGGCCAGGCAGAAACTGAGAGGGAGGCACGGTGTCCAGGGGGCTCGGCTCTCCCCGGCTCGGCAGGGGCTTTCAGCACCGCGGACAGCGCCCCGCCCCAAGCCCGCGCACCCTCCCCTCTGCCTCTGGCAGCCTAGCCATTGGCTCTCCTGGCTCCCCTCTCCAAGCTCCCAGTTCTCCAGCGCGGAGACCCAACCTCCCCAGCAACTGGTCTTCTCGCCTCTCCAGCGCTAGGGTGGCCCAGGCCGCGGAGAGCAAAGACCAGCGCCTCGGCTCTCCACCAGGCTCGCCGAGGCGCTGCCTGCGTTCTGCGCTCGGTCCCCGGGCCTCGGCCTGCCGCGGAGCTGGGCTCAAGATGAATCTCAACTTCACGTCTCCCCTCCACCCAGCGACTTCACAGAGGCCCACGTCCTTCTTCATCGAGGACATCCTCCTGCACAAGCCCAAGCCGCTGAGGGAGGTGGCCCCTGACCATTTCGCCAGCTCGCTGGCCTCCCGGGTGCCTCTGCTAGACTATGGCGACCCCCTCATCCCCACGCCCACGCTTTTGGCGCCTCACGCCCATCACCCTCTGCACAAGGGAGACCACCACCACCCTTATTTTCTCACCACCTCGGGTAAGCAACAGGAGCCGAAAGGTGTGGGAAGCGAGGTTGGTCTTCCTGGCATACCTAAGCCTGCAGCTGAGCCTGGCAATGGTCTGCGCTGGACTGGCCTGGTCACCGTCTCCTTCTCCATGTGGCCGTGGGAGGTTGGGGATAGGCGGAGAGCACATAGCCTTCGGGTGTGCCAGCCCATGGGGATAATCTGTGGTCACTCCCCACTTCTTGTGTGGGAGATAGGACTAGCCAAGGGGCCCCAGGAGGTGAATGGGGTTGACATTCTCCTGGTGGCTGGGCTCAGACTCCCGTTCCTGACCTTCCAGGCCACTTGGGTCGATCTGTAAATCCCAGTTCTCCACTTCTCAGAGACCCTTGCTTGGCTGTCCTGCTCCAGGAAACAGAACTCAATTTTCCAGCTTAGAAGCTCTGTTCTTCCAGGTGCTGGATATTCGGGGATTCTGCAGGGCTCTCTAGGCGGGTGGGATACTCTGAGGACTTCAGGGTTGGACCGGCCAGAATAGAAAGGAAGGGTAAGAAATGCGCGGTCTGAGTTGGAA